CGGGGCTGCTCCAGCTCTGCTGGGATGTGCCACCGGCTCTGGCATTGCCACCTTCCCCCAGAGACAGCCCATCCTTGTCCCGTCCTGGGCCGGGGCCGTGGCAGTGTGTGACTCCCCGAACCTGGGCTTGGGGACAGGGGCCGGCCACAAGCAGTGACCCCGGTGTCAGGCAGAGGTGCAGGGAAGTGAATGAGCTAATAAATTGGGGGTGTGAGTCAGGATAAAGCACACGGGCACAGGAGATCTCAGGGCCTGAAATATTCATCAGGTTTGATGCAGCGCCCGCCGTCGCGCTGGCTGTGAGTGATGGCGCGGGGTCGGTTAATTCACTGGTAAAAAGGCTCGCGAAAGGGGCCGGGGGTGCAGGGGCCACAGCTCAGCACTCAGACAGAGCAGGTGATGATGGTGGCACCACCTGGGGACATCCTGGTGCGGCCAGCAGGGCATAGAGAGGTGCTGTGGGGAGTGGGGTGCCACATAGCACCAGCACCCACCACCCGAGGGGGTGGCAGAAGACCCCAGGCGGGTGCACCCAACCTGCAGCCCCGGTGGCCCCGTCTGGGCCACAGGGGGGGTCCCGTGCCCGGGTGTGAGTGTGGCCCCATGCCCCGATGCAGGGTGTTGCCATTGCAGCCGCCCCACGCTCCCTCATTAAATAAATCCATCGATCCACCTGCTGCTGTGCCGGCTCCTGGCCATGGGCTGGACACGCCATGCTCCTGCCAGCCACTGGCACTTCCCTGTCCCTGCGCTGGGACCCACAGGGACCCCAGGAGATTGCCCATGGTGGAGCCAGGCACACCATCCTCATGCCCAGTGAGCCAGATGCTGGCCAGGCACTGGCGTGGCTAACGAGGTCTTTGCCAGGGAAGCTCATTAGCAGCCTGACAATCAAAGGACCATGGGACGGATCGATAGACGTGTGGAGCAGGTACAGAGACATCACAGGGTTCCTGCACTGGGGCCTCTGGCACAAGGAGGGACCCCCGGGCAGCCGCTTGCCAGCTCCCCCTGCCCTGCAGCCCCCTGGGGACTCACCTCCATCCCGTGCCCGGGCATCGCACCTCGGTGCTGGGGTCCCTCCATCCCTGCCAGCATCCTCCCAGCTGGACACGAGCCTGGAGGGGATGGATGGGCAGCGAGGGCTGTGCCCCCGCAGTGCTTCTGTGGTGAACCCTGGCATCCGGCTGGCCCCACTGCCAACTCCCACAGCACCCACTCCGGGCACTCTTGGGAGATGCTGCCCCAGCCCCCAGCCTCACCATCCGGCCGTCCCAAGGATGCAGTGCGATGGGGGTGATGCTGTGTCATTGGCACAAATCCATCCCTCTCCCAATCCTCTTCCTGACGGGTGTGATCGCAAAGCCCCGCTCTCCTCCTGCCAGTCCCGCCGGTGCCAGCCCCAGTGTCCTGGGATGGACCCAGCTCCATTTAAAAACAATGAGGGGTGAGAGGACAGGAGGGGTAAAACCCAGGTGGGAGCCCTGCCTGCACCCTGCCCACATGCCCTGGGGTTGATCCCACAGGCTGGGGCTCCCCGTAGGCCACCATCCCCGTCCCCAGGGATCCACACCCAGTGTGCCCTCAGTGTGCAGCGGGTGCGGGCAGCACCGACTGAATCCTGCTGCAAGGGCAGCTCCTGCCCATCTCGGCTCCAGCACAGCAGGATTATTGTCCATCAGGATTACAGCCGGCTGGGGGCGGGGGGGGCAGCCTTGCCGAGCTGCTGCCAGCACCCTGGCACGCACAAGGACATGGGCAGACAGACACAGACAGGGATGGACAGACACCCCGGCACAGAGTAGGGATGTGTGTAGGCAGCGTCTGCCTGTGCCCAGAGCCCCCGGGTGCTCAAACCCACCGTGCCCAGGCTGCCATGCATCCCCCCCGCTGCCCCAGCTGCCACACTGGCCCTGGACCAGTGGAGATAAGCGAGTGTGTCCTCTGCTCCCAGCCAGCAGCAGGAGTCGGGCAGCAGAGACACAGCTGCCCCCCCCCAGCACCCAGCAGGTGGGATGTGATGGCCCCCCCAGCACCCAGCAGGTGGGATATGATGGCCCCCGCATGTGTGTGCCATGCCAGTGTGAGCCCGCACGCCCGGTGCACGTGCCCTCATTGCTATGGCTGGCGCGGTCTCGGAGCGTGCGGCTCTGGCTAATTAGCTGGCGCGGGCCGGCTCCCTCCAAAGCCCCTGCTGAGTGTTTTGCTAAATTATAACCTTGACGATGCACATCATCAGGCGGCTGCTCAGGGAACAGCCAGCTCTGGCCCCGCACGCCCGGCGCTGAGCATCGGTGCAGAGCTGCCCGGCTGGGGTGGCATGGCACCGGGGTGGCATTGCACCGGGGTGGCACCCTGCCACATGCCCGCGGCTGCCGGGTGATGCGGGAGCAGGACCGAGGCAGGTGATGGGCTCTATGGTGTGGCCGCAGGGCACCGGGAACCCACAGTCAGTGCCTGGTGTGTGGAGCATCGTGCCTGGTGCCCGGCTTGCCCAGTACTCCTCGGAGCTCAGCACACGTGTCCCCTCGGCATGGCAAGCTGGTGGCCCCGTTTCCATGGTGACACGGAGCCATTTCCCATCTCCAGGATGCTCTCAGCAGCTCTTGAGTCGGGGCTGCAGCCGCTGCCTTGCGCCCATGGGACATGGGCAGGGATGGGTCCCACTGCCCTGGGGGGGGGGGGGCACTCTCCTCCCTTCCAGCCCTCTGGACAGGGTCCCCAGGGTGTCCCACCCTGTGTGTCCTGGGGCTGCCCCCGGGATGGCCCCAGTGCCTGACATCCTGTCCCCAGGGCGGTGAGGGGTGTCAGGGTGTCCCAGCATGGCTGGGTGGGGGGGCCCCAGCAGCACGGCTGGTGGGGGGACCTAGTGCCAGGAGCTTCCTTGCATGCTGCCGGGAGCACCACGGTGCCAGGGGCCTGTGCCCAGGCTCATCCCAGTGCCACGGCGTGTCCCACCAGTGAGCCAGGGCACAGGGCTGGCCGTGGCCGCACGGTGCCACCACCTCACCTCCCGCCACTGTGACTCCCGGGCTGTGGGCACAGCCTGATGCCTCTTCACTCCCTCTTATTCTCTGGGCTGCCTATTACCGTTTCGCATCATTTTCTGTTCCTGGCAATAAAATTTTCTTCTCAATTTCTGAAGGTTTAACTCCCACCCGCCTGCAGCGCCCGGGGGTGCCCTGTGGGGCACCAGGGCACCCCCACCCCACACCCTTCCCCAGTGGGACCCAGTTGTCCAGGCACCTGAGCACTGTGGTTGGTGTGGGTGGCAGTGGGGACCTGGGGGGGCAAAGGGGGGGCTGGCATCAGGGGGGGAGCCCCAAGGCAGGGAGATTGTGAGACAGAAGGGACAGGCTAATGGAGCCTATTCCTTTAATAGATTCAATTTCTGCCGTGGCTGGCTGCGGGGCGCGGAGCCATCAATTCGATTCAGGGGACGGGGAATCTGATTTGGAGCGGCCGTGCCATCAATTAGCTTTTATTGATGGCATTGCTCATTGGAAGTCGATGGGATTTGAAGCCAGCAGCAGCTCCCGCATACCAAGCATCCCTCGCTCAAGGACAGGGCCCCATTGGCTCCAGGACCCGGCACCCACCCCTGGGGCTCTGCAGGGTCCCCTCAGTCTCACCTGGGAGAGCCCCAGGGCCTGGGCAGTGGCGGAGGGGGACTGGGGAGGTGAGACTGGCACCCCCCCACCCCCCCCCCCAATCTCTGCATGAGGGTCCCGTGGGTCACCGTCACCCCAACACTCCAGCACAGGGCTCCCACAGGGCACAGCCTGCCTGCACCCATCTCTATGGGGGTCCGGCAGGGCACGCTGCCCCCCCCAGTATGCCTGCATGAGGGTCCCATGGGCTACCATTAGCCGCAACACCCCTGCATGGGGGTCCTCTGGGGGATGCCCCCAGCCAGAATCCCCCCATGGGGTCCCTCTGGACATCTCCTCATGGGGGGCTGTCCCAGACTACACAGACACCCCCCCCCGCACCAGGCAGATTCTGGGCACCATTGCGGCCCCCGTGGTGGGGCCAGGCCCTGCAGCCCCCCATGGGGATGGGGTGCCCTTGCCCATGCGTGGATGGGGTGCAGCGGGGGAAGGGCAGGCAGCGGCGCAGGGGGGGAGGGGCATGGCACGGTCGATGCTTTTGCTCAGCCTCTTGCCAAGCAGTTTCTCAGGAGAAGCCATAAAACCTGTCTGACGTGCCCAGCACCACTGCGGCGGGGGCTGGCAACGCCTGCGCAGGGAGGGGGCTGCGGGGGCCTGGCTGCCGGCAGCCCCACAGGGAGCTCGGCTCCGGCTGGACCCCCCCAAGGAGGGCAGCGGGGGGCTGCACCCGTGGGGCAGGGGGGTTCAGGGTCTGCCGGCCGCTGCGGGAGCCTCCAGCATCGCTCCCGGGGCACGGCCCCTGCCAGCTCCATCCCGCGGCAGCACCGGAGCCGTGACCCCAGCAGGGACCCAGCTGTGCCATGAAATCAGCCCCCGCAGTGCCCCGCTGGTGAAGGGGCACACTCCAACTGTGTCCCCCCCAACTGACACTCCACAGCCCCCCGCTCTTCACTGTGCATCCTAATGAGGGGACAGACAGACAGACGGACGGAGGACCGCCAGCCCGCTGGCAGCCCAAGCCCAGCCAAGGGCAGCAAGAGGGACCACCACACCCAGCTGGGGGCCCTGGGTGAGCAACGTCCCCCCCCAGCCCCACCACCCCTCATCCCTGTCCCTTCCCAGGCGCCAGTGACCGGCTCCGGGTCCTGCTGCCAGGCGCTAATTACAGGCAGCTCATCTGTAATTAAAGCTCTCCCTGTGACATGAGCTGACGTCTCAATATCAAATCGCTGCAATTAAACCCCCGGCCGGAAAGGTCACGGCCAGAGGTGTGGGCACCCCCGGGGAGCAGCCGCCCTGGCACCCCCCGTGGGGACGGGGACCGCGGGCAGGGGCAGGAAGGGACGTGGGCAGCACGAGGCCGGGGGTGGGGGCCGCAGAGCCCAAGGGCAATCTTGCAAACACTGTATTGCTTGGCTCAGTCACTACCAGGGGTCAAAACCAAACCGTAGGGGCTGGTCAGGCAGGAGGAAGAGGAGGAGGAGGAAGAGGAGGAATAGGAGGAGGAGGGCGTCTTCCCAGAAGACAGATCGGTGTGTCCTCGCTGGAGGACAAGGCAGCAGAGGGGCCTCCATCTGGCACCCGCTCCAGGGCCTGGGGGTCCCCGGCCTCCCCCGGGGTGGGGGGGGTCCACGGGGGAAGGCACGGGATGAGGCGACAGCCCTGGGGCAGAGCAGGGGTCGGGTGAGCTGTGGGGAGCCCCGTGCCGGGACAGGGTGGCCAGTAGGGCCGGTGTTTGGGAATGCCAGTGGGAATCCAGGTCCCTGGGAGGGAGAGAGAGAGCACGGTCAGGGGATGCTGCAGCATGGAGTGAGGGTTCAGCCCCTGGGGGCACCCACCACCCAGCAGACCCCCCGGCCCCTCCTCACCTTTCAACCTGGAGCTCCTGGCCCTGGCTCGGCTCCACGGGGGTCCAGCAGGTGAGTCGTGACCCGGGGCTGCCCCATGGGCTCGGTGGGGTGGGGATGGCGGCAGAGGAGGAGTCTGGAAGCGGGCAGTGGGGCAGAGGAGCCCGTCTCCCCGCCACGGGCGGCACCGGGGGTCAGATCCGGAGCAGGGTGAGGAGCGCAAGCGCCAGGCACAGGGCGTGGGGCTGCAGTGGGGCCGCAACCCCCTGGGCGGGCACCGCATCTGCCAGGGCAGGAGCAGAGGTGAGGGTGAGCCCACCCTCGACCCCCCGCTACCTCCCTGCCCACCCCATACTCACCCTCTGGCCCCCCGCGCCCACGGGGCTGCGAATTGGGAACCTCCGTCACCGGCTCCGGCGCTGAAACAAACCCCGACGGTATCAGTGACCGGCTCCCCTGGGACACACGGGTGTCGCCCCCCCGAGGCCCCAGTACCCCCAGTGGGGACCGGGCTGTTCCAGGGACAGGGGAGGGGGAGCCCGAGACTTTTGGGGTGCAGCCGCCCCCCGGCCGGACTCACTGGTGTCTCTGCAGCAGACGTAGACCCGCAGCTTCAGGCAGCGCCCGGGGCTCTCGGGGCTGGGGACGGCTGGGCAGACGGGACACATCAGCGGGTCCCCCCCCGGCACGGCCCCCCCAGCCCGGGACGGGACCCCCCGACGGCCGGGCCGGGACAGAGCCGGGCTTGGGGCGCCCCCTCCCGGCAGGCGGCGGGGCCGGCACCCCCCCGGGCCCCCGCCCCGGGGCATCCAGACCTGACGGGCGCCCCGACAACCCCCGGGCACCCCCACCCTTCCCCCGTCACCCCAAAA